TTCTGGTTTATATCCTTACATTATTCTTCCTTAAATGTAAGCCATTGCCACTGTCCAGCAACTAATTTGGCTTGACTGGGTTCTACTCCTGTTACATGCTTTATATCAAGCTATGTCCACCTTCTTTGTTTAGGTGTTGTAAGCTATAGCTATGCACAAGGTGTCTTTTTGCATCCTTCTGAAGATTAAAAATCTGTCTTCTGACTTTTAACATTAGTGTTAATTGTAATGCAAGAGTAGAAACACACTTGGAAACTGTCCAACAACGCTTTTGTTAAGAATTTCCAATATCATTAAAATAAGAGAAAAACAAAAGCTGCCTTAAAGACTTACCAGTTTTTCAATAATAGAAATGAACTGGCAAAATGGGATTTGGAATTTCAACTTTTATAAAGGTATTATCACAAGCAAATTAAAGCTGTATTTTATTTATGTTTTGCTCATGCAGCTCATAGAAATATTCTGGCCACGCTTGTCAGGCACTTTTGTAAACTGTCTTAAGTCTAACAGCTGAATATTATATATCTGCCTCTGCTGCCAAGTGACACTGCTATCCTTGTACCTCATGGCCCCTTTTCTCCCTGGGTAGCAATGCTGCCAAAGGCATAGCAGCATGCTGAGCAACAACATCAACTGGTCAGGTAACAGCAAGAGCACTCAGAATCTGCAAATCCCAACACTGCCCTTGCTGATCAGATCTTCAGTAGAAAAAACTCAAAAAATAATTCAATCATTGTCAACAACTTCTCCTAAGTATGATTCTTCTAAATAACAGACTGAGGATTGCAAGGAAATAATACCATCCTGGTGTCAGGTCTCCCCAAAGCCTAGTTTTGAACCAGTTTCTTTAAAGATAATTTTAAAAATATTTTAATATAATTAAGTAAATAATTAAATTTGGATGTTATTACAGAAAGACTGCCACTACATCCTTGAGACATACCTTGAGAATACCTGTGTTCATCAAAAACAAATATATGCTTGAAGCATACCTCTTGTAGCTTACAAAGAAATCCATTTGGTTTTGAAGCTTTTATTATTTAAAATTAAGTTCTCTAGAATTCTTTGCTGAGGTATGAGGAAAGCAGCTATTGAATAACTGTCATTACTGTGGGATGCAGAGACATGATGGAGAGCTGCTGTAAATTAAACCAGACCCAGGAACTCCTATCAGCTAAAGCTTACAAGGTTAGCTACTTTTTCCCAATCCCT